GCGCCAAGAAGAACACACGCAGAGGTGTTTTAATTCAAAGACTTCTGAAAAAACAAACAGTTGCCAGATGAAAAATGATTCGCGTGTGCTGCGTCGTGCAGTAATAAGAAGCCTGAATTGGTTTTTTCTAAAAAAAACAAACAATACCTAACTAAACGAATAGATTGTTTAATATTGTGAATATTTTCTACATCACATAACCATTTATCATTATCGTGCATTCTCACTAACAAAAAATGGTAAGGGTAGTATGGACTTTTATGATGGATTTTTATGGTTCTCACTCTATGATAATGTTTTCTAAAGAATATAGTGAATCAAAGATATTATGAATGTAGTGAATTAAAGGTTGTAGAAATCGTTACTCGGTACGTGTTCGGCTGATTACCGAGTAGCGAGTACTCAGGAGTACTCGGGAGTACTTGAAGAGTATTCAGATTCGATAATTAATGTAGAAATATTTTTAGATAACTTATATATGTGAAAATCATAAGTTAAAATGTTAAGTTGATTCAAATATATAATAAAATTAGATACATGTGAATACACAAACTGAAAACACATAATGGTCTCGCTTCATTTATAATTACTGGAAATTTAAGATATATATATGTAGTAATAATTATATGTGTGTGTTAAATAATAAATCGTTAAGTGTATTATACATATTAATCAACGAGTTGACTGGATTTTACAACACTGCTCAGTTCAATAAGGGGTCGATCAGGGAGTACTCGAGATTTTGTAACTCGCATCGGTAAGTGGCCGAGTAACAAGTATTCGGAAGAGTAATCGATCAACTCGACGAGTTTTACAACACTAAGTGAATCAGAGAAGTAGTGATTGTAATTAATACTACTTATAAATTCTACTTATTTAAATAAACTTCTACAAAATTGATATTAAACTTTTACCAAAATTTGTTGTTAAAAGCCCAATTAAATGGAAAATTATTATTATTATTATTATTATTATTATTATTATTGCTCTCCAAAGGCAAAAAAAAAATTTATATATATTATTATTTCTCTCCCACATAAAAAGTATATTAAATACTTCAAATAACACTTTATACAACTTGAATATAACAAGATTAAAATTACAACATAATTTATAACAAGTTAATCACTTTCTACAAATATGGTGATTATTATACCAAAGAGGAAACCTTAACTTGTTCTCTAATACACTTTTTCTAAACTCTTATACCAGAGCATCTTTACGTACATTAATGTTCTCCCTGAACATTCCGAATTCCTTTTTTTCTTTTCTTTTTACGAATTATTACTCCAACAAATATCATTTACACTATTTGATAACTATGTACCAACAACTTATATTAGCAACATAATACAGACCTAGCAGAGATAAGGGTAAAACATAGCAACAAAAAGGACACATATAGATCGCTAGTTTTCACTATTTAGAAACTTAGTAGCGATTAGTGAGAAACGTCCCATGTCGTTCATTCGCCGGTGCCATGTCGTTTATTCATCACTAGTCTATTACTGGATTTCTTGAAAAACGTTTATCTTTGAAAAGTCTATTCCATCATGGATTGTAATTAATGGACATTTTATGTCGCTAATATTAGTTGTTGGTACTTAGTTTTCTAAGTGTGTAAAGAGTAGTTGGGGTGATTATCCATAATGATGATTGATTTGACACCTCCATCATATTGTGATAAAGCTTTCTAAGATGGACCAAGCTTTTAAGTGTGTTGTAGTGTAAATGGTACTATGCTCGGTTATACTACTAGAAACAAGAGTTTTAGAGATGGACGAATCCGTCGCAAATCCGTCGCTAAAGATCATTTGCGACGGATCAACCACAACTTTACTCCATAGCGAATTAAAGGGTGGCTAATGACTTAGAAAGGGATTTAGCGACGGCTTAGTTTTCTCTTGCGACGACCTTAGCGACAGAATATCCGTTGCAAAATGACACTTAATACTGTTATTTCAGACCTTAGGGACAAAACCTAATAACAATATTCCGTCGCTAATCCCTTGCAAGCATTGATATCTGTTTTTTTAATCCGTCGCTAATTTACATATGATTTTTTTCGTTCCGTCGCTGATCTGTAGCAAATTTGAGATGTGATTTTTTCCCTTTTTGTAGTTAATCCCTTGCAAATATATAATATCATATTTTTTTCGTTCCGGAATTGACTGGGACCTTGTCCCCTGCATCGGACCGAAGTCCGGAACTAACTGCATCGGACCGATATCCGGAGCTGACTGGGACCTTGTCCCCTGCATCGGACCGAAGTCCGGAAACTAACTGAGCATAGCATAGCATAAACACATATCAACTAGCACAACACACATGATCATAGACTCATATACTGCACACTACGTCAGGCCGTAGCCCATAACACCTAACACATAAATACTGTCTGAGCCACGAAGGCATCAAACACACTAACAAATGCATCAGACCGTAATCCGGAAACTACTACTAACTAAACGGGCCGGCATTGTGGCCTTAGACCCGTTTCTACTGGAAGGAAACTCACCTCATAGCCTAGCTGCTGAAAGGACTGCTTTGGAATCTGTCTGCTGCATCTCCGGTTTCACCCCGGCTACAATATCCATGAGCACCATCAATCAAATATTGTTAATAATAATACTGAGGGTAAAATGACTCTCTTACCCCTGATCCAAATCAACCTAACCATCAAAGTCAACATTCAGTTGACCTGACTCGTCAAGTTGGGCCGCCAACTCGTCGATTCCTTACTCTTACTTCCTTGATTCCACTCGCTACTACTCGTCGAGTTTTGGCACAAACTCGACGAGTTCCTCTTTGCTACTAACACTCTGACAATCTGCATCTGACTCGCCGAGTTGTATGAACAACTCGTCGAGTTCTCCTTCATCAGATGACTAATCTAGCTGTGACTCGCCGAGTTGTATGAACAACTCGTCGAGTCTGTTCTTGAAGTATGAAGATGGCCTTGGACTCGTCGAGTCAGGGCATTGACTCGTCGAGTTCTTTCACAAATGAGTCTAACCCTCTAGCTCACCGAGGCCACTTCTCACTCACTGGTTCCACTCGGCGTTACTCAAAAAAGGAAACACAGGGGACTCGCGACTTGACTCGCCGAGTCAGAAGAACGACTCGCCGAGTCGTATGCATGCAAATACTATACACTCGATTCTGCTTGAAACTAATCCATGCCATTAATAGCTCTGGGTTCCTGGGAATTGATGTACACGTAAAGTTTCCAACTTTACGTGTAAATAACATAAAATGGAGGTTTTAAGGTTAAAAGCACACTATAATAGTAGATCTAGAGCTTTCATGCAAAATGGATCCATAAAGGTGCTAGATCTAAGCTCTTGGAAATCAAATCTGGCTAGATCTAAAGGTTAAACAACTCCATGAATCCTCTATGCTACTACTAAGCTAAGAAATGGTTTAAGAATGGCTTCACAAAGGAGATTTAAGCATAGAAATAGAAAAGGGCCAAGATATACCTTACTTTCTTCTAAAATTCCTCAAAGATCTAGGATCTCCTTCTTCTCCTCTTGATCTACCTTTCTTTATCTCTCAAAATCTTCAAAGAATACACCAAAATCACACAAAATACAAAAAGGGCTCTAGGGTTTCGAGAATGAAGCTCTGAGGGGTGATGGGAGCTGACTTGATGCCCTCAAAAGTTGTTTATATAGGATGCAAACCCTTGAAATTAAGGTTTCATCCAGACTGGCGGACTCGTCGAGTCCGGAATATGGACTAGCCGAGTCGCCAACTTAAACGTGCTCGAAATCGCGACCCTACTCGACGAGTCCAACTACTGACTCGTCGAGTTCCCCTAAAAACTTGAAGAAATATAACAATAAATAACAATATAAATATCATACCAGAATTGGGGTGTTACAAATTTCGACTTGGTTGTTTGATGTCTTCTTGTTTTTTGCTAGATTCAGGGTCTTTGATGGAAGCAATGCTTTTCTTTTGATGAAAAGGAGATTAGTGTCTACTCATTTGAAACCAAATGTAGGACTAGAATGGAATTAAATTTCAATTCCAACTAAAAAGCAAATGATAATAAACATCAAATTGGTCTTGACATGGGCCTTTCTCTGATTTCATGCAACTGCCTTTATCACCACAAATGCAGTTGACATTAACTAAAATTTTAAGTTACAAATACACCCAACATGTGGTCAGACGGAATGGAATGGACAAACGAAGGGAATAAAAAAGGTAACATAATGAATCTTTAAAGTACTCACTTGTCCTAGTTGGCAGCAGATATATTGAACCTTGGACAATGTCTAAACACATAAAAAAGATAAAATAATCAATAAAAAAATATTTTCCCATAATTTGAAGATGGAGTTACAACATTGAAGAGCAGTCAAACCTTGGTCAATACATAGAGAATTCACTATATATATATATATATATATATATATATATATATATATATATATATATATATATATATATATATATATATGAGGTAAATGGTTTAAAAAAAATATAAATGATAAAGGGGAAAGAAAGGAAGAAAGTTACCTTATGTCTATTCAAGGAACTTTAAGAACTTTCTTGTTGACGCCTCTTCTACTGCATGGAATCAATTATAAGATCGGGCATAAAAAATTAACTACAATCTATTGGATTAGAAATTAAACTTACATGTCCCTAACAGCTGATCAAAGGTCTTTTCCATTCTTCCCCAGAGGATGCACACGTTCATCGGCTGAAACAGGTTTAGGATAAATTAAGAGACTACTTATCAAAATTATTCATGGAAATTAAAAAAGAAATAATGGTTAACCGGATGACCTCGGATCTGAAAAGTAAGAGGTCTAGCATTGTTCATTGACGGTTGACTTGCCACCCTAGATATAATTGACAAAATTTTATATGTGAAAATTGCAAGAAATGGCAACATACTTTACTCTTATTATGATTGTTATTTTCTTTTTAATTTTTATGATTATAAAGAAATGAAATAAAAAACTTGTTTTTAGTTTCAGTACTCATAGCCATAAAAGCTTCTTCCACATTGGTGGAACTTTTAGCACTTGTTTCAAGGAATGGAATCCCAATCTCATCAGCAAATGCCTACACAATTAACTCTTTTTAGTATTTTTCATTCACTTAAACAATTTAAAAATAATTAACATTATTTATTACCACAACTTTCACATTTGTTGATGTTTAGCCTCAATTTCAACATCTTTAATATCTATCTCCCCACATACTTCCTGTGTTGATACACAACCTACATTTAAAACATGAATATAAGATGTTAGATAGATTTTGTGACACAACCTTATTGGCCATGTCTCCTTTCTCTCTATGATCACTACCCTCGTTGCAAATATCACAATTCATTTTTTATTTACAATCATTAACAATGGCAAGGGCAATCATGTCATTTGCATAAAAGATTTTAACTTTTGTCAAATTGACATCAGTCTCAATCCTTGTCAAATACATGTCAAACATAGTATACAGTGTACCTGTCTCAACAAGTTCACCAACAAAAATCTTTGCTATCTCGGATACGACAATATTCATTGGCATTGAAATCTTGGCACTTCCAGTAATGTTGGCTAATAACTACATAAAGAAGGATTATTAGGCTTCATGTGTTCATACTCATTTTTTAATCAGAGAGAAAAAGAGAAATACCCTTTTCATTTTTAATTTCTGAAATCCAGATCTTCTATTCATACCTACTAATTTGTTCCTCAGTGAACTGTGATAATATTGACCTGGAGCATGTATATAAAAACTTATATTATTATTTCTGATGTTAAAAGTGACTTTGAAGGACATATATGTAAACTTACTGCATTTTGGACATTTTTTCGGGGTCTCCTGTAGATGGGAATTTTCCAAGTTCAACATCCATGTTTTCCTCTTCTTACTCATCGTCATCTTCTTTGTTCTTTTGATTGGTTGGGATGGCTGCTGAAGTTGAGGTCAACCTGACTCTTGATTTTGGTTTGTTTAAAGGATGAATATTGTTTTCCAAATCATCTCTTTGGGAGTTGATATTTGGTTTTGATGATAGAGTTTGAGCCACAATCTCATCATGAGTGTCAGGGGAATCAACCAGGGATTCATCTAATTCCTCAAATGCTACTTCAAAAGGATCTTTTGGTTGCTTCATGAAACCTTGTAGAAGAACTGTTACAAATGGTATCCTTCAAGATTTAGCGACTGAGTTGCTTTTGTAACCATTGAATGACACTATGCTTGAGAAAACAAATGAAATTTGAAAAATCTTGAATAAAGAGGTGTTTTATGTGTTTAAATTTAGCATTAAAACAACAATGTAAGGCAAAATTTAGGCAAAAACATTTTGTTTTTGCAATCAGAGATGTGTTTGTGATACTAACAGTCAAGATTCGTAGCTTCAAAATCATTTTAGTTAGATTTAAGTAATGTGAAAGTACAAACCAAATATATAACCGAGAACTCCTTGCTTTTGTTCCTTATCGACAATGATGAAACCTACAATGGCGATTGATAAATTTTCCACCGGGTCTCTTTATCCTCACTCGCGACCCAAAATCCAAAAACCTAAAATATGCATTGACAATTAAGCGTGATCAAACTATGTATAAAAGAACATATGCATGTAAAAAGAATTTTTATTCATCACCATGATAATCAAGAAAAAAAACTCACTACAGTTGGAAGAAAAGAGAGAAATGAATCTCAATCATACATACAACCAACTACTTACAAAATATGATGCCAAATCCAAATCCAAATCACAAACTCGATGTAACTGAACAAACAAACTTGGAAATAGCAAATCAAAATTCTACCTCACTCTGTACATAAGAGTATCATAATTCATCAACAACACCACGAACTCATGATGAGCTAAAACTAGAAGAGAAAGCCCTTCTAGCTCTGGCAGCGACTAGGGATGCCAGCAAATCAAGAATAACAAAACTGATAATCGAATGGAATGCTTATAAGAAACGAAGTTAAAAAATTACAATCCTTGATGACACAAGCAAATATCTAATCATATAAGTGTTAGGCTATATAACACTATTATTTTAATCAATAGAATTAAGAAGTCAATTGACAAGGGATAGACTTTTACCCTTTCAGGGAGTAACACCTTCTTCTCTGATACCTAAATAATATTCATATCAATTTCATCCAAAATACCTCAAATTTATTCGAATTTCATCAATTGTAACATCAATTCACAGCTAGTACTATCATCTAACACATATAACACATAACAATGGCCTAAAATTATGTAATTCATCCACAAAAGTTTAAATTTACCTCAAAGTTAATCGGATTTGTAAGAATATGAATGACCACCATAGTTTTCTAGCAACCAACAGATCAAAAGGCGTTGGCAGGAAACCACGAGTCAACGAGGAAGGGAGACAGACCGAGAGGAAAGCCACGCGGATGTTCTTCGGCGTTGCTTCAAGTAAACTTCCGTGAGAGGTGAAACAAGTAAGAGAGGCGATGCAGGTGGACAGTGGTTGAGGTGATTTCCATGGCGGAGGATGGAATTGAGTCAATGCGTTGCGATTTAGGGCTTTAGGAGGAAATCGTGTTTAGGGCTTTCAGAAGGAATGAAATTAAAATGAGTGAACGTAAAAGAAAAGAGAGCAGAATGAGGAAAAAAAAGTGAGGGCTTTTCAGCGATCGATTGGCGATGCCCAATAAAAAAAAACTCATGTTTTTAAAAATTCTGTCGTTGTTCCCTAGCTATATTTTTTTAACTTGCGACAGATTAGCAAGAGATTTCTTTTTGTTGAAAAAGTTAGATCAATCCGTCGCTATGCCCTCGATATCCCATCACTGAATTTCTAAAACTAATTGAGTTGAAAGATTTTGTGAAATCCATAGATGATCCCTCGGAAAACATACACTAATTAGCTACAGAAGGATTCTGTCGATAATTCCATCGCAGAAGGTAAGGTTTCTAGTAGTGTTACCAATGAGAATGAATACTTCCTCTCTCTATTTCTTTATTCCTTCGCTCTCTTTTTCCTATCTTTTTTTATTTCCCTATATATATATATATATATATATATATATATATATATATATATATATATATATATATATATATATATATATATATATGACACATCTTAATTTTGTGAGACCGTGAAATGCAATCCTAACCACCCATTTAGTAGATAAAAAAAAATATTTTTAAAATGCAACATAATTGAAACTTTTCAAAAAAAAATTCAAATATTATTTTCGGAATTTATGTTTTACAAAAAAAAAAAAACCAAAACAAATAAAAAAAAATATAAAAGAATACATTTTTTTTACATATTCTCGTAGAATATTAGAATATTCTATATATTTGATAAATCTAGTAGAATATTCTGAAATTCTAAAAATCACATTAAAATATTTACAGTGTAATATTCTATTAGAATATTTCACGTATTTTTTTTTTTAAAAAAAAGTAACTTTTTATTATTATTTTAATATTTTTTTACGTAATTAAAGTTCAGAAAATAATAATTAAATATTTTTTTTGATTTTTCCTTTTATTTTGTATTTTAAAATTATTTTTAGATTTGGTCTCACGGTTTCACAAAATCAGCATGGTCTCAAATGAACCTGAATATATATATATATATATATATATATATATATATATATATATATATATATATACATATATATATATATATATGTGTGTGTGTGTGTGTGTATATATATATATATATATATATATATATATATATATATATATATATATATTGTAACAACCCAAAAATCACATCCTAAAAATTTCAATTTAATTTATCATAAAACCATAACTATCCAAGTACAAGTAATAAAATCCAATGTAAAGTATCATAAAACACCATCATCATTACTAAAACCATTTGTATGAAAGGAAATCATAGTAAAACTCCCAGACTAAGATCTATGGTGTGTGTGTGTGTGCCATACAATCATCCTGAGACCTTCCCCTTGCTACCAGAGGTACCTGAAACCAAACTAAAACTGTAAGCACGAAGCTTAGTAAGCTCCCCCAATCTATCACATACCAAATAAAGTCATAAACATAAACATATACAGGGCCCCGGCCACTGCATCGGGCCCCGCCCGACATCAGAGCAAAATTTGGAATATCTTGGGCCCCATCCACTGCATCGGGCCCTTCCCGGCATCAGACCGAAGTCCGGAATAACTTCGGCCCAGCCGACTGCATTGGGCCCCGCCTGACATCAGACCAAAGTCCGAAATAAACTGAACATAACATAAACATAAACATATAACATATAACATAATCACATAGACTGCATCGGGATTGCCCAACATCGGAGAAAAGCCCGAAACATATAACACATAACATAAACATTCATGAATCACAAAGACATCAAGCATGCATATCTACTTCTAGTTTTATCCCCCAACGCTATACTACCAACGGGCCGCCCTTGCTGCCTTAGACTCGTTCCCACTGAAAGGGAACTCACCTCGAATGTCTGACTGCTGACAACATGAGTGAGAAATCCCTAACTGGTGCTCCAGTGACTTCCCGACTATTAATACATAAAAACATATATTCAAAACCTAATAATCCTTCCCAAGGTGAAATAACTCTTTTACCACTGGTCAAAGTCAAAGTCCTGTTCAAAGTCAAACTTTCAAATTGACTCTACTCGCTGAGTACTCCGCTATCAGATCCTATTAATCGTGACTCGACTCGCCGTGTCTGCCCCATTACTGAGTCCATCAAACTTTTGAGACCTAGTTCAACTCAACTCATCAGTCAATCCATGTACTCACTGGTCCGACTCACTAAGAGGGAAAAATATGGTCCGCGACCAGACTCGCCAAGTCAGAATAATGACTTGCCGAGTCCTTGCATGCAACTGGTCAACAATTCATCTGAATCGATTTCTATATATCCAAAACATAGATCTAGTCGTCTAAGACTATCCTTACACGTAGAGTTGCTAACTTTACGTGTATCGATGGTGTAATGAAGCAATAACATCAAAAACTTAGCTACTATGAAGATTATTTGTCTAAAATAAGATCATGGCTGCATAAAGATGACTTCCTTGAGCCCTAGAAGCTCAAGGGAGATGAGATCTGAGATATGGATCGATAGTAATGCTTCAATACTAAGGATTTAGGGTTTTGAGCTCAAAACCATCATATTTGGGGACAATAAGATCTAATATACAAAAAGGATCAAGTTGAGAACCTGTTTACCAGAAATGGTGCCAAGAAGAAGATAGGTTCTAGATCTATGTTGCCCTCCTTGAGTCTTCAGCTTCTTTCTTCTTCTTCTTGCCTCTAGATGCACCAAAAATCACTCACAAAGGTGAGAAACACTGAAGAACACTTATGGAGGACTATGGTTTTGGAAGAAACGTTCTGGATGTGATGGAGGCCAAGATGGGTGATCATAATGATGCTTAATTAGGGTGCAAACCTTAAGGATTGGGGTTTTCTCCAGCTTGGCCGACTCATCGAGTTGGGAATAATGACTCGTTGAGTCACCTCACAATTATCCACGTGCAGGCGCGTACCTACTCGGCGAGTCAAGGTTATGGACTTTGCCGAGTAGCCTTTATAAAAGGAAACATAAAATAATTAGAATCACATACCGGGAACGGGGCATTACAATTCTCACCCACTTATCTTAGACTTCGCCTTCGAAATCTAATGACCCTTCGAACAACTCTGGATAGTGCTCCTTCATCTCCTCCTCGGGTTTCCATGTCCACTCTGACCCCTTTCGGTGCTACCACTACACCTTAACTAACTCGACCCTTTTATTTCTCAGCTCCTTCCTCTTGCGATCCAAAATCGCCACTGGTTTCTCGATATAGTTCAAAATGTCATCGACCTTAATATCTTCCAAGGTACCACTTCTGAATCATCCATTAAACACTTCCGCAACTGTGAGACATGGAACATGTTGTGGAACTGACTGAGCTCAGCTGGGAGATCTAATCGGTAAGCAACCTGACCCACCCGAGATGAAACCATAAATGGACTAATGAATCTAGGACCCAACTTGACCCGCTTCCGAAATCTGATAACACCCTTCTAGGGTGACACCTTTTGGAGAACCATATCACCCACCTGGAACTCCAAGTCTGATCGTCTCCTGTCGGTGTAACTCTTTTTCCTGCT